GAGCTAGGCTGACACCACAGCACTCTAGCCTGGGCAATAGAGGGAGACTCTGTCTAAAAAAAAAATAATAGTTGAATACAGTTGGCCCTTCGTATTTGTGGGTTCTGTATCCACGGATTCAATCAGCTGAAGATAAAAAATATACTTCTTTTTATCCCAAGACAGTGTTAGGTTTCCCTGTGAAACCCTTGGTTCTTGGCGCACTCATGGCCAAAGAATGACCAGAAACACCAAAATTAGGCAAGTACAAAAATGAGGTTTATTGAGGAGAGAAAGACAGGATTACAGGGCAAGAGCAAGATAATGGGTTTACAGAGCATGGTACATATGCCATGGATGACAACCAGACCCATTGTTGCAGCGGGCAACAAAAGGAAGGACAAAGAGAGAGAGATTGACTGTGGTCTGCATTTTATTTTATAATGCCTGGATAGTGAACTCTCTCATGGTTCAGAGGTCACCATGGAACCACTTTGATTGGGCAGTTGGGAGTCACATGACCTGAGCCTTAATTATTACACATGTGGCTTCTAGGTCACTTTCCGGACTTTATGGTACCCATGGGGCTTGTCCCGTGGGCTAGAGAGTTCTTTGCATTCTTTTGCAGCTGTAGTGCCAAGTTCTGATGGGCAGATTCATAGGGTATTCCCTCCTCCCCCAGGTAGGGAGAATTAGGGTTGGGCAGGACCAAGATGGGGGCAACAGCACCCACTTTCGTCCCTGGTAGACCCGGAATCCCTCCAGGCTGGAGCGCAGTGGCACAATCATAGCTCACTGCAGCCTCAAACTCTTGAGCTCAAGTGATCCTTCTGCTTCACCCTCCTAAGTAGCTGGGACTGCAGGTGAGCATCGCCATGCCCAGGTAATCTTCCTTCCTTTCTTTCTTTTTTTTTTTTTTTTTCAGACAGGGTCTCACTCTGTTCACCTAGAGTGCAGTGGTATGATCATAGCTCACAGCAACCTCAAGTTCCTGTGCGCAAGCAGCACTCCTCCCTCAGCCTTCGTAGTAGCCGGGACTACAGGAATGCGCTACTATGCCTGGCTAATTTTTCTATTTTTTTGTAGCGACAGGATCTTGCTATGTTTGTTGCCCAGGCTGGTCTTGAACTCCTGGCGTCAAGTGATCCTCTTGTCTCAGTCTCCCAAAGTGCTAGGATTACAGGCATGAGCCACTGCTCCTGGCCCCCAACTAATCTTTTTAAAAAATTTTATTGAGATGGGGTCTTGCTAGGTTGCTTAGACTTCTGTAAAATAATTTAAAAAGGTTTATTCTGACCCTAATATTAGTGACTGCAGCCTAGAGAGACACAAGAGGTCCTGAGAAATTGTGCCTGGGGTTAGTTGGGTTACAATTTGGTTTTATACATTTTACAGAGACAGGAATTGCAGGTAAAATCATAAATAATTACCTGGAAGGTGTACATTGGTTTAACCCAAAACGGTGGGACATCTCATACTGGGGGCTTACAAGCCATAGGTGAGTTTAGGATTCTTTAATTAGCAATTGGTTGAAAGTATTAAGCCTTGTCTAAAAATTTGGAGTCAGTAGGAAGAAATGCTTAAGCTAAGAAAAAGGGGTCTGTTATCTGTCATGTGATACCGTGCTTGCAAAAAATTTTTAAAAATGTCTGTTTAGCTAGACTTTTTGGATTATAAGGCATGACTTAATCCTTGCCTTGGCCTTAGGTCTTACTTATAATTTGGTATCTTATTGCCATGAAGAGTCGGTTTCCTCATTCTTATGATTAACATTAATGTTGGTCAATTGTTCTAAACTCCAAAGGGGAGGGAGCATAAGGGGGTGTGTCTGACCTTGCTTCTAGTCATGGCCAGGAATTTAGTTTTAGGGCTTTTCTGGGGTTCCTTTGGCCAAGAGGGGGTCCGTTCAGTTAGTTGAGGGGCTGAGGATTTTATTTTAGTTTATAAGATGATAGGTGATGGCGACTTGGATCAAGGTGGCAGCTGCAGTTGTGGAGAGAAGTGGTGGGATTTTGCTGTTTTGAAGGCAATACCAACAACATGGAGTCAAAGATGACTCTTTTTTTTTTGAGACAGAGTCTCACTCTGTTGCCCTGGCTAGACTGCTGTGGCGTCAGCCTAGCTCACAGCAACCTCAAACTCCTGGGCTCAAGCAATCCTTCTGCCTCAGCCTCCCGAGTAGCTGAGACTACAGGCATGTGACATGCCCGGCTAATTTTTCTCTATATATTTTTAGTTGTCCAGCCAATTTCTTTCTATTTTTAGTAGAAATGGGGTCTCACTCTTGCTCAGGCTGGTTTTGAACTCCTGAGCTTGAGTGATCCTCCCGCCTGGGCCTTCCTGAGTGCTAGGATTACAGGTGTCAGCCACTGTTCCCAGCCTCAAAAATGACTCTTAATGTTTTGGATCTAAAAAGCTGATAGAATGGAGTTACTGTTTTCTGAGATGTATAAGAATATAGGAAAGGTAAGTTTAGGATGGGGGTGAACAAAGAATATGGTTTTGGATATGTTAAGATGCTGTGATATTGTGAAATACATATTTGACCTTCATCCCCCTTTCCTGGCATACAATTCCTAAAACCCTTAGAATCTCCAAAGTGAAGTCTTTTTGTATGCTAATGAGTTGACTGATGGCTAGCAGCCCCTAGATAGCTTCAGGATGGGGGCTAGTCCTGGAAAGACAAAGGCAGGATTGGAGGGGTGGGACTTTGAGCCCTACCCCCAACCTCTGGGGAGGAGAGAGGGCTGAAGGTTAAGTTGATGACTAACGGCCAATGATTTATTCAATCATGCCTATGTAGTGAAGCTTCCATTAAACCCCAAAAGAACTGGGTTCAGAGAGCTTCCAGATAGCTGAACATGTGGAGGTTCCTGAAGGGTGGTGCACCCAGAGGGCAGGGAATCTCCACATCCCTTCCCACATGCCTTGCTTTATGCATGTCTTCATCTTTATCCTTTGTGACATCCTTTATAATAAACTGACAAATGTAACTGTTTCCCTGAGTTCTGTAAGCCACTCTAGAAAATAAATCAAACTCAAGGAGGGAGTCATGGGAACTCCAGTGTAAATACAGTCAGTCGGTCTGAAGCACAGGTGCAACACCAGGGGCCTTGCAGTGGGCATCAGAAGAGGGCAGTCTTGTGGGATCTGATGCCATGTCTGGGTAGGTAGTGTTGAAATTGAATAGAATTAGAGGACACCCAGTTGGTGCCCGCTGCAGAACTGATTGCTTCCTTGGTGTATGGGGAGAAACCCCCATACATTATGGTGTTAGAGCAGAGGAAAAATGGTTTGTTTTTTCCAGATGCCTATTAATCATCTTATTGCAGATACAGGTAAACAGATGTATGAGTTTGAGGTTCAAGGAGGAGGTTAGGAGCTGGATATGTAAATTTGGGAGTCATAAGCTCAAAGATATTTAAAACCGTGAGATTGGATGGGGTCCTAAATGACGCCTAGGGAATGATATAGGTAGGGTAGATGTTTGAGGCCTGAGCCCTGGCGCATTCCAACACTTAGAGATTAGGAAAATGGAGAAGACCCAGTAAAGGAGACTGAGAAGGAGTGGCCAGTGAGGTAGGAGAGCAGTGAAGGAGTGGTGTTCCTGCAATCAGGTGAAGAAAGTGTTTTAGAATGAAGATAGTGATTAACTGTGCTGGCAAAATGAGGACAAAAAAATGACTGTTGGATTTGACAACATGCCAGTTACTAATGACTTTAAAATGAATGATTTTAATGATTGGGGATGAAAACCTGATTGGAATGTGTTTAAGAGAGAACAGGAGAAGTGAAAAAAACAAATGCAAACAAAACAAAACTCAATGAATTCTGTGCAATGGGAACATAGAAATGGAATAGTAGCTAGAGGTAGACATGAAGGTTTTTATTGGCATGTCTGTTCATTTGTAAGATAAGAGATATTTGATATCATGTTTGTACAACACTGGAAATTATCCACTTTGTATAAAAGAGGGGAATGATTTTGATTTCTGCTTAAGCAGAGCTTATTTCCTACCTGGCTTCAGTTTGGAGAGCTTCCTTCAGGAACACTTGGGGGTTTGCTGCGGCAAAATGCCCCAGGGGCACCCCAGCCCAGGACCAATTTTCATGTTAATTTTTCAGGTGGAGACTTCCCACACCATGCCTTTGAAGTCAATTTGGACTCCAGAGCCTCACAGGGCACAATGTTGGGTTTGAATATCTCACCCAGGGTCTTTTTTTTTCCCTGTCCAAGGCCCTGCGAAGACAAACTTTCTTTACCTTCTCCTTGGACTTATGGTCAAGATTTTTAGTTCGTTTTCACTAAGGTTGTGGTCCTTAGAGGGTTCTAATTTCCTACTTCTCAACTCTCTTAGCCTGTAGGACTGGCCAGCACACCAGTGCCTGCAGCATGGGCTCTGCTCCTTCCTCTCTGCTGGCATCTAGAAATTTCTTACTCTTTCTTGCAAGCCCTGCCATATGTTTAGAAAGTTTTGATTGTATGTCATCCAGCATCTCTAGGGATTTGTGGCAGGAAAATGTCAGCATTTTCTACACCACCGTTTTGTAGGAACCAGAAATCTTTCTCCTCATTCTACCTCCCTAATTCCAGGTCACCTTTGAGGTCTTAGCTTAAATGTTACTTCTCGGAGAGGTATTCCCTAACCCTCTCCATCCCAATCTAAACTAGTTTACCCTTATGCTACTTATAGCACCCTTTTTCTGTTTTAGCACTTAACTTGTTGTAACTTTATACAAGTCTTTGTTTAATGTCTGATACCACCTCTAGATTGGAAACTACATAAAGGCAAAAATCGAATCTGTTTGGTTCAGCATATAGCAGAAGGACTGATTTATTGAAGATGCCCAATAATGATGAAACAAATAATTTTCTAAAAATTTAACAACTAATAGTATAGTTTTAAATGATATCATGAAACCGATTATCTTCTATGTCTTGGGGACTAAATTTTCCAAAAAGAAAATGTTTTTCATGGAAAAAAGATAGAGACATCTGATCATTATTTTAGTTGACTCACCTTAGAAAAGGATTGTTACTTAGTTTTTGGTAACCACACGTGTCTTTTCCTCTTCAGAATGGAGATCTCTTCTCATCAGTCTCACCTCCTGCAACAATTGAATGAGCAGCGCAGACAAGATGTATTTTGTGATTGCAGTATTCTAGTCGAAGGGAAAGTCTTCAAAGCACATCGAAATGTATTATTTGCTAGTAGTGGCTACTTTAAAATGCTTCTTTCTCAGAATTCAAAGGAGACAAGTCAGCCAACCACAGCTACCTTTCAGGCTTTTTCCCCTGACACTTTTACAGTTATCTTGGACTTTGTCTATTCTGGTAAACTATCTCTTACTGGTCAGAATGTCATAGAAGTGATGTCCGCTGCTAGCTTCCTTCAAATGACTGATGTCATTAGTGTATGTAAGACTTTTATTAAATCTTCATTAGATATTAGTGAGAAAGAAAAAGATCGCTATTTCAGTCTCTCAGATAAAGATGCCAACTCTAATGGCATAGAACGTTCCTCTTTTTATAGTGGTGGCTGGCAAGAAGGAGGCAGTTCTCCACATTCTCACTTAAACCCAGAGCAAGGAACAGGCATAATAAGTGGAAAATCTTGGAGTAAATATAATTATCATCCAGCCTCCCAAAGGAATACTCAACAACCTTTGGCCAAGCATGAACAAAGGAAAGATTGCATTAAAAAGACCAAACATTTGAGATTGTCACAGCCTTCTGAAGTTGCTCATTATAAGTCAAGCAAACGAGAAGCACGAACATCTGATTCTTCCAGTCATGTTTCCCCATCTGAAGAACAAGCACAAATTGATGTTGAAATGGACTCTACTCCTGTGGGCTATCAATATGGTCAAGGATCTGATGTCACATCCAGAAGTTTTCCAGGTACCCAAATAGAGCATAAGTTCCCACCAAGTGCAGTGGAACACGCCTGTAGTCCCAGCTCCTTGGGAGGCGAGAGGATTGCTTAAGTCCAGGTATTCTGGGCTGTTGTGCACTATGCCATTTAGGTGTGCACATTAAGTTTGGCATCAACATGGTGACCTCCCAGGAGCAGAGGACCACCAGGTTGCCTAAGGAGGGGTGAACCAGGCCAGGTTTGAAAGGGAGCAGCTCAAAACTTCCCTGCTGAGCAATAGTGGGATCTTCCAGTAAATAGCCACTGCACTCCAGCCTGGGCAACATAGCAAGACCCTCTCTCTTTAAAAAAAAATTAAATTTAAAAAATCTAAGATTAATGGAATAGCAGAAAAAAAAGGGAGGGGGGGTGATAAGTTCCCTAAACCAGATTCAAAACTCTTATATAAATCAATCCTATGTCAACATGCCCTTAGTTTCAGGTGTTATAAGCAGTTGAACCAAGTGATTTTTTTTTAAAAGTCTTACTTCTGTAATGAAATTTATTTCATAAAACATGAATTTAAAATTTTAAATTCAAAATAATATTAGAAAAATTTAGTCAGTCAAAATAATAAGAGTACTGAAGATCAAAATCTATGATTTTCCAAACCTGTATCTGTGGGTGATTAGATTACTATTAACCCTTTTCTAAATAGTTTAAGGCCTAAGACACATACTTTCTTTAATTTTTAAAAAATATTAGAACCTTTAACATTGTGAAGCAGAATATATTTTCACTTTAAATAGTTTTTTCCCCTGAATATTCACTAGTAGGAATATTTAATTTATTAAGATGTAAATTTAATTAATTAGTAATTTTTTAAAAAACCCAACACATACCTTTAATATTGATTCTGTAATTCTTTTTTTTTTTTAACTAATTCTGTAACAGATTAAGATTCTGTAATTCTATGGTAGATCAATTTGCAACAATATGAGACATCTCATTTTTATGATAGTAGTAAAATGGAGAAAGACTGTGTAAATTGATAGTTTCAAAATAATCCTCTCCTCTCATCAGGCTGAAGTAGAAAATAGGGATAAGAAATGCATATATATCATCCAGTTTTTTTTCTTCAACTAATCAGTTAGCAAATTGGCTTAACAGTTTACATGTAAATTTGGAGGAAAATTATGATAAAATGAAATTCCTGAAGGTTAAGATTCTAAAATTTAGATTATTATTATTATTTTTTTTTTTTTGAGACAGAGTCTCACACTTTGTTGCCCAGGCTAGAGAGAGTGCCATGGCGTCAGCCTAGCTCACAACAACCTCAAACTCCTGGGCTCAAGCGATCCTCCTGCCTCAGCCTCCCAAGTAGCTGGGACTACAGGCATGTGCCACCATGCCCGGCTAATTTTTTCTATATATATTAGTTGGCCAATTAATTTGTTTCTATTTTATAGTAGAGACGGGGTCTCGCTCTTGCTCAGGCTGGTCTCGAACTCCTGACCTTGAGCAATCCGCCCGCCTCGGCCTCTCAGAGTGCTAGGATTACAGGCGTGAGCCACCGCGCCCGGCCTAGATTATATATTTTTTAAATTAAATTTGTTTTTTTTTGAGACAGAGTCTTGCTCTGTCGCCCCAGGCTATAGTACAGTAGCATCATCGTAGCTCACAGCAACCTCAAACTCCTAGGCTTAAGCGATCCTCCTGCTTTGGCCTCCGGAGTAGCTGGCAGGCAGCACAGGCGCATACCACCACGCCTGGCTAATTTTTCTATTTTTGTTAGAGACAAGGTCTCACTCTTGCTCAGGCTGGTCTCAAACTCCTGAGCTCAAATGACCCTCCCACCTGGGCCTCCCAGAGTGCTAGGATTACGGGTATGAGCCACTAAGCCTGACCTTAATTTTTATTTTGGAAAAATTTCAAACTTATACAGAAGTAAAGAGAATAATATAGTTAACCTCTATACACCCATTACCTAGTCCCAACAACTTTCAACTCACAGCCCATCTTATGTCTGTATCCCTAACCCCAACCTCCTCCCTCTATTATTTTTAAGTAAATCTCAGATATCATATGTTTCATATCTAAATATTTCAGAACGTGTCCCTAAAATTTAGAATCTAAAAAAAAAATAACCACACTACGGTTATTATACCTAAACAAATTGAAGAATAATTTCTTAATATCACTACGTAGTAAGTATTCTCATTTTTCTGATTGTCATACAAATTCTTAAAAAATAATTTGGTTGTTTGTAGATAACATTTAAAAATAATAGGCAACCTGTTAACTACCACAGTGAAAAATAAAAGAAGAAAAAATAGGCAACCTGTTTGATTTTTACCCATCACATTTTCCTGTAGGATACTAATTTTAAAATATATGAAATTGTATCATATTAAAGAGTTTAGTGAAAGTCCTCCTGGGCTGTACCTATTGACTAAGGATTGTAGAAATAACAGAGCAAAAATGTGGAATCTTTGTTGCATTTTATGATTCTTGTTTTTTTTTGTTTTTTTTTTTTTTTGAGACAGAGTCTCACTCTGTTGCCCAGGCCTTAGAGTGAGTGCCGTGGCGTCCAGCCCTGGCTACACAGCAACCTCCATCCTCCTGGCGCGCTTCGCAATCAAGGCGTCTGCTCAGCTCCCGAGTAAAGCTGGGATTACAGGCACAAGCCACCATGCCCTCTCATTTTTTTTTATATATTTTTTAAGTTGGTCAATTAATTTCTCTCCTTCTATTTTTGGTAGAGGGGGTCTCGCTCAGCTGGTTCGCGAACTCCTGACTTGAGGCAAATCCACCCGCCTCGCCTCCAACAAGGTGCTAGATACAGGCGTGGAGCCACCACGCCCGGGCTTTGTTGCATTTTAGAACAACACAAAATTATCTTCATTTGCACTCTATACTTTAATAATCTAATTGTTTAAATATAACCTTCAATAATAGGTAATTTAATGGCTGTTAAGTTGATGAGGTTTGCCTCTAATCACAACTAACATTTTGAATATATATGAGTTTTAAAACAAAAGTTAAAAATCCTTGAAATGTTTTCACCTTTAAAAAAAAAAGCTATAGACATGGCAGTGCTCCCATGTAGTTCCAGCTACTCCGTAGGCCAAGGTGGGAATGGATCTCTTAATCCCAGGAGTTATGAGGCTGCAGTGGCACTAAGCTTCTGCTGTGAATAGCCACAATCTATTGGATCTCACTCTGTTGCCCATCTGTCCCTAAAAGAAAATTAAGTATTACAAGTGTATGAAAGTTAAAAGCAAAGGGATAAAACATGTAATTAAAGCAAGTTACTTAAAAGCTTAATACTTAAATACTTTAAAATTGTGTCTGGCTGGGTGCGGTGGCTCACACCTATAATCCTAGCACTCTGGGAGGCTGAGGAGGGTGGATCATTTGAGCTCAGTAGTTCCAGACCAGCCTGAGCAAGAACAAAACCCCATCTCTACTAAAAAAAATAGAAAGAAATTAGCTGGACAACTAAAAAAAAAAAAAAAAAAAATATATATATATTTAATATATATATTAAAAAAATTAGCTGGGCATAACAGCACGTGCCTGTAGTCCCAGCTACTTAGGAGGCTGAAGCAAGAGGATCACTTGAGCCCAGGAGTTTGAAGTTGCCGTGAGCTAGGCTGATGCCATGGCACTGTAGCCTGGGCAACAGAGTGGGACTCTGTCTCAAAAAAAAAAATTGTGTCTGTAGTTTTAAAAATCCAGTACTACCTTCTTACATTTAAAATCTACTGATTCTACTGCATTAAATAAAAAAAATATATATGGCAGTCTAAATTCACCCAGGCTTTGTAGAGATAACCAAATACAGGTGTTATATTTAATAGTTCTATACGTAGGATTACATTGACAATCTAGTCTTTTTTTTTTTTTTTTGAGACAGAGTCTCACTCTTATTGCCCCAGCTAGAGTGCCATGGCATCAGCCTAGCTCACAGCAACTTCAAACTCCTGGGCTCAAGCAATCCTTCTGCCTCAGCCTCCTGAGTAGCTGGGACTATAGGCATGTGTCCCCAATGCCCAGCGCTAATTTTTCTATATATTTTTAGTTGGCCAATTAATTTCTTTCTATTTTGTTTTTATTAGTAGAGACGGGGTCTTACTCTTGCTCAGGCTGGTTTAGAACTCCTGACCTTGAGCAATTCTCCTGTCTCGGCTAGGATTACAGGTGTGAGCCACCGGGCTGGCGACAATCTAGTCTTTTTTTTTTTTTTTT